TCGACATCAAAATGAAGTTACTGGAGGTCTCAAAATAAATAACTCCGTTAGGTAAATTTACTGATAGCTAGGATAATAAACCAATGAAAACAGATCAGCCAGAGAATTTGATAATTTTTCATTTATTTTAAACCATGCATCACTAGAAACTGCAAATGTGGATACTTAGCTCACAGTAAATTGTATCTCCCACAAACATTCCTGATGATTGATTCAGTGAGGACTTTTGGTTGGCTAAAAAGTTATTTTAACATACTATACGATTTTGCTTCCGTAATGCTGTCTTGGTGAACATTCCTGTAAGAAATCTTTGAATTAAAATTATTAAAATTATTACTGAGATATCTACAATGATATAGTAAGGGGCATCTTCAAAATGTGAAAGAAGAGTTAAAAACTGATAGGGTATCACAATAAGCTGGGTGCAAGCAGAATTAAGGAAGTCAGAAAAAGCAAAGCAAAGCAATATCAAAGAGTGAGACTGGATATAGCATAATTTTAATTTTCGCTGAGATTAAGGGAATATAATGTAATGTGATAATTTATCTATCGTCGATGACATGGAAGGTGGTCGCCCAATCTTCCGAGCATCGAGGTCCACGTGTAAAATGCTCAACAAAAAAAAAATTAAAAAAAGAAATAAGTACTAAAATTAGATGAGAATAATACAAAGTATATAAGATAGCAAAATAAAACATAAAATCACACACGTGAGGATCCAAATAGAGTATATAAAAGTACGGACTATGAAAGTAGGCAAGAACGAAAATGTTCAATCAAAATTGTAGGCAGGAGTTACAGAAACACCCTATCAAATAAGTATGAACTAATCTCCTACGAAATTTAGAGGTAGACTTGCTTTGCTTGATTCAGTTATTCAAGTTATATTCAAGTTGAGATACACGCTCTACATTGACACCATTCTTAAGTTATATCCAGTGGTTCTTGGTTTGAACAACCTACGCTTATATTGTTGGGCTATCCGGTTAATCAACTTAAATACAAGAATCAGGGAATATATACAACGTCTTTGCATTAATGCTAAATTAAGCAGATCATCATAAGATCATCAATAATAATAGTAAAGCATAATTAGTCTGTTAATTATCAGAGTATTGCATTTCTGTCAATTGTTTCCTTTAGGAAAAACGGAGAATGGTGTTCATGAGTGTCTCACTATTGTATTTTCTCCATTTAGGGTGAAGGTAGTCCTCAACTAATCAACGTGAATTTCTAAGATCCTCTGAAAAGTAATACGGTCGAACCAGCATTAAGGGGGCCCTCTGGTTGAAATCCAACAGTAAAGAAGGTCATAACTAGAACAGTCACAGGATCATAACCATCTCTAGTAAACTGCTGAAAATTGGCAGGAGGCAAGTACATGACCCTACCTACCAGCCAACAAGTAAAGTTGACCAGACTTGTTTATTCCTAGTAAATAATAAACAAAAACAAAAACTCTATCATTTTAAACTATTCTTCTGCCCCCTCAAATTCAAAGCTCAAAATACATCCAATTGGGCTGGTTTTAAGCATCATGGATCTACTTACAAAGCACTACAAACCTATTGAGCAAAATCGGGTTTCAATCATTAATGTTGCCATGGCAACGAATTCATTCCAAGAAAAGATTAACTCCCCAAAACTTCAACACTTTTCAGTCAAACTGAATTTTGCTCAATAGGTTTGTAGTATGTTATGTCTCAAATATTTGTGGCAAATTTGGAGCTGTTAGCACAAATACATCCTGAGAAATTTAAGGGGGCACCCAAATAATCACGAAAAACCCATATTTGCAGGAAATGTGATTTAAAAGGAAATGTTATGGAAACATGGGTTCATCTTGCACTCTCTTCTCTGCTTGTTTAATTCTCTCTGAATCCCTTCTCCTAGCTTCCATTTTGGCAGTATCACTCACAGTGAGCCCAACCTTCTCCATGATAGCATGTTTCATGGAGGCACCACCACTGAAATGTAAGGCAGCTGACAAAGCAGCCAGCTGCACTCTCCTTCTGCCATGCCACTTGTGTTTGGGACATTTGTTCCATACCAGGGAGTTGATGGACTCATTAGCATTCTGGGTATAGCCAGGCAAGCACCTTGCAAGAAGGGCAGAATCTGTGAGCCTGTCATAAATCTTGCAAAGATGTTCCTCAAACACCTTGTCAAGATGGTGTGGCTTGTTAGGGCAAGGGAGCCCTTTCTTGTATTTACACCATGAATTTGGTGGACAAAACTGGTGCCTTTCTTTATTGGGTAGCTTCAAGCAGTGGAACAATCCAGCCAGAATCTCAGTTTTCATAGTCTGCACAGCTTGGTCCCTCTCTTCAGTGGTTGTGATTTCTCTTTTTACATTGTTACGAATTGCCTTGCCATAATTCTTTTTCAGTTTTTCTATAGCAGCCTTTGTCAGTCTTCCATTTCTTCCATGCATTGGTTTTCCATCACTCAATTTCACTGAGGATTTTTGAAATTCATACAGTGCTTTTCCAAGTCGCTTTTGAACGTGTCCAATGCAGTCTAATTTCATGACCCGGTCACAGCCTGCAGTTCCAGCCAGGTGATCCTCTTCCCACTTCTTAAAATCTTCTGAAGCTTTCCAGGTAATGTACTCTTGATCATTGTTTTGTAGATTTTCATAATGGTGACAAGTGTCACAGGCACCATAAATGCTCCATACAGAATTATATGCTTTTGAGTCCCCATCAGAAATCATCTTTTGGCACATTCCATCTCCATACTTGGGCTGGAGCCTTTATAAGAGCCTTCACAATGATGAGTCTGGCACCACTGTTCAAACTGGTCTTCAGTCAGACTTGACTTCTTTTGTGAGCACACACTACAGGTTTTTGAGATAACTTCAAGGTCCAACACTTTGCCAGTTGCAGCAGAAATAACAAATCCAACACAGTGATTGGCAGTATAACCTCGTTTTGACCAGGAGCCATCAAAACTTACAGGGATACTAATTATCATTTGATCATTAGCATCAGTGATGCATTCTTCTTGTATAGCCTGCATTCTTGCCTCAGCCCTGTTTTTGGCTAGTTGCTCCTCTAATATCTCCTCGTGGGCCTTGAGTAGTGCCTCTTCGTGCTCATACCAAGTTGTGAGTGAAATACTGAATGGCATATTAAGCATTTCACACAGCTTGGCAATTCCCTCTTTTCCAACTCCCATCTCAAATGTGCCATACACTATTCGTCGGTTCAGATCTTTACCTTGAATTGTCCTTGGAGTGGTATGATTGGAGGGGTGATCGCCAGTAGCAAGGAACTCTGTCATGCCACAGTCACACTTGACAAAGACTGAATTGCTCATTCCCATTCTGTTTACAGTGCTCTCTAACACTTCAACTTTACCTAAATGAGAAATTAGAGGAAACGATCTATTAATTTTCTAGTTTAAATCCAGATAAATTAGTGGATCATGGACTTGGTTTCAAATTTTCCGGCATAATAAGTGACACTGTGCAAAAATTTCAACAGGCTCACCTGAGGCACATGGTCCATGAGTATGTACTCTGTTTACAAACTTCCTTAGACTTTCCATTGATACCAGGCGATATCCTTCAGCAATTNGATCGGCCGATGTCACGCAATTTTCGATAACCAGCACGCCAAGACATATTTTGGTTAACGGGCACACCAGGACACATTTTCGTTAACCGGTACACCAGGACACAACCCTGATTTTCGATTCTCGAAAATCAGGGTTGCGGCTTCTCTTAAGTGTCTCCATGATTTCTGAAGACATGTCCCTCTTTGTTCAATCTTGGGCTTCCTGGAGGACATCCAAAATTACGAGCTAATCAGACCTACGTTTCAAACCTTAGAGGACACAATGAACAAAAGTGGCATTTCATCGTGATGCCTAAAAAATGAAATGATCAAATGTATTCACTTATCACTTTTTTTTTTGGAGTTTCGTAAAAAGAATGGATCATTGAAAATAAAAAGCTTGTAACTTTTGTTTACAAAATGTTTATAACAACTAAAAAAGGCAGTGCAACAAACGAACACAAAAAAACTGTTAATATTAGACAGGTGTGATTTGTCACGTAGATACATACATAGATACATACATAAACTTTATTAATGTGTCTTGAAATATCTAGCCTATGGGGTTAAGAACCCCTCTACTAACTGGGGACACAATTAACAACCTATCAACTATTTTCTAATGAAACTATTAAAACAAGGCCTAACAATATAATATAGTTAAAAACCTAAATACCGATTGCAAATATGGCGGCTGCTACACGAAAGCGAGGCTTTTCGGTAGTGACCGTTGCTAAGGGCCAATTTTGTTGATGCGAGTGAATTTTATGCCACACTTGCTTGTGTTGTAAGTCTTCAGAGCTCTCTCTCTCTCTCTAGAGAGTTTGAACGTTAAATTAGAAAGTCATGGTCAGGCCAGTGGAGAAAATGCATGTTAACAAGTTGAGGCAGTTTCTTCGGGACCATAACGCTAACCTGAAAGATTTGACAGTGAAAGCTCAGCTAGTGGCTAAGTAAGAAAATAGTATTAACAGTGAAGCCATGCTACTTTGATTGCACTATTTCTTTATGGATTTATACTCATGGTAAAAGCGTTACAATGCTTTCCTTCTTTGTTTGGTATGATTGCAGAATATCCGGCCCATTAATTGCATATCATTAGGGTGTATTATCAAAGTCTTATTAAAGAGTAGAAGGCAATCTGCAAATAATGGGCCGGGTTTTCTGCAATCGCTCTTTGTTTTACTTTAGGGCAAAGGAAATCCTCCAAAGAAGTGAAATCCCAGTGGATAAAAATAACGCACAAGGGCAAGCAAGTGCTGAAACAAAAAAAAAGTGACATCGAACTCCTCAGGGAAAATGAAGAAAAATTTAAGTTTTCACCTTCTGAGAAAGAGATGAAGAAATGCTTAGACGGCCTTCCACCATTCACATACAACTCAGTCGTAACGTACATCCGCACATCGGGTAAAAGCATTCAACAATCACCGGACTACATGG